GCTGAGGAGTATGCGCCACCTCCTGCAAAGCAGGGAGACAGAAAGGAAAAATAATATTAAATGCAAAAAAACTAAAACAATGTCATATATACTATTAATAAGTTATACATGCAACCTAAACTCGGGCAAAAAAAAAGAGAGAGCATTAACTTCTTAGAAGACTTTCTAACATCAGCAGGAGGCAAACAAAAAAAGTTTGACACTATTCATCTCGTGGATGAGGCAAGCATGCTGTGTGTTCCTGTGTATGTGTTTAAATTGCTTGTGAATGAATGAGTGTGTGTGAGCCTTTAAAGAAGAATGTGCCAGCTGCAAAGAAGAAAAGCGAGCATGTCAGCATTCTCAGAGGTCTGCTCTGTGCTTTGATGCAACGTTTCCTACTGCAGAAAATAAATGCTATGATGGCGTAAATGTTAATAATTAATGCCAATATTCATTCAATGGCCAACCTTTTTATATGAATCTAAATGTACAAAATAATGTTACTAAAGCCTTGAAATAATGGTACACTTTAGATTCGCCCCTGCTAGCTGCTGTGACAGAAAGCAGGACGGCTGATGACAGCCTTCAGTAAGCTGCTTGATTTAAACATCACATCAGATTAAGTTAACAGCTAATCTGCTTAAACACACTTTTATTTTAACTTCTGTAGCTTTTCACTGTGTAAGATAAACAGTGGTGGATGGGAGCAGCTGCAAAGTTCCCTTTTCTTTACGCTAGAGCTTGTTAAAAAGCTCGTTTCATTCAGGACTTCCACCATCTTTTTCCCAGTAAAGATTTTTACTGTGAATATAACAACAAACGCTGCTGTTTTGGACACTTAAAAAACTTTTTCTTTCACACCACTTGAGTGTACACAGACCTTGAGCTGCACGTTAAACTACTTATGTGATGATGACTGAGCTCCACAGTTGTGGATTATATTAGGTACCAAAGCAAGAATTGTGTTCTTCAAATTACTCGATAATTCAGTGCAGTCCTGGAGCCATTTGGTTAAAGGCAAAAAAAAAAAAAGAGAGAGAAAGGCCTCATAACTCCATCGAAAGGTACCACTGGGATTTGTATCTCACAAGTCCCAATTGCTCCTTTCGATACCAAGTTACCTGTGAAGGGATCAGCTACACCAACAGGAGCACCTGGGTTTGGGCCTGATCCTGGGATGTAGCGACCAGTGCCTGTGAAGAAAAAACATGCTGTGAAACTGCACTTACAGGTCAAGTTCAGACTATGAACACCTCTGAGTAAACAAACTATACCTGTAAAAGGATCAGCTCCAAAGCCTGCAGTATCACTGGAAGAACCAGGGATATAGCGAGCTCCTCCTGTCAAATAAAGAGGCGAAACACATTATACATTCAATCTAAGATCCCTTAATCGTTCCAGTGAAATTAATCTAAATGTACAGCAAAGAAAGCAAAGAAGCCAGCAGCAGTATCCATCTTTTGGACCTCACCAGTGAAGGGGTCACCACCAGCGGGCTGGGCTGGTCCCACCACGTGCCCTTTAGTATTCTCAATGATAAAATTGGCAACCTGGTCGAGGAACATCGGGCTAAGGTCATTCTTCTGCAGAAAGTTGTGCGCTGTCAGCCAGGGGTCGTCTGTCACATTGTAAGGCAGCTTCATGGATGGCCCTCCCTCATTCACATCAATGCTGAACACATAATCATACTCCTGCACGCAGATGGGGGGGGCACATTAATGACAGCTCATATGCAACGTCCCGCTTACTAACTCTGAGCTTGTAGCCTCACCTTTCCTTCATACATGACACTCTTGGAGGTCTGTTGGTTTGAGCCTCCGACCACATCTCTGATTTTCATCCAGCGGCCATCACTGACGCTCCACTGATATGCCTCCACCTTCTGTCCATCTTTGATCAACCGTGTCTGTCCATCGCGATTCCCTGTTGTAAACAAAACCACCCTGATGCACAGAGAACAGCTTCATCGTTTTATATGACAAAATAAATAGCAGCGTGCTGCATTACCAGGCTCGTTCAGGTGTTCTCTTCCAGGAAGATCCTCCAGTTTGATATCACCAAGATCCCCGGTCTTGGGGTCGATGGTGGCTTTGGAAAGTTCATCCTCAAAGGCCTGCAGGTCTTCTGCACTAGCCATGCGGTCCTCAGCTTCCGTAAACACGCGGATAATGCCATCGCTGTGGGCACAGGAGCAGCTTCTGGTTTAGCCACAGAACTATTTACTGCTTCATTCAACATTTGTTTGAATGCAGGAGAGATGCGACGAATGAGGACAGCGAACACTGTCGTTAATGGGCTTTTAAATATTTACGGTGTAACATGATCAAGGAAATCACTATGACCTGACTGCATATTAACATGCCAAAAGCAGCTCTATTACCTGGCTCCGACTACTATGTCACCATTAGGTAAAATACAGCAGCACCACACAGACTGAGCAGGCAGGCGGATGGTCTGAGAGCACTCTCCTTGCCTCCATATCCTCAGACTCCGGTCCTCCCCTGTGCTTATAAAATCTAAGAGAAAAAAAAAAATAAGGGTGAGGGCAAGGTGTAGGAGGTAGCTACCATCTCAGAGTATGAAAATGGAAGCTGGCTGAATAAACCACAGAGCATCACTGACTGCTGGTTTCAAGTCTCTCAGTTCTATCCCTTGTTTTTAAATATTGATACAATCAACAAACCTTGGCTATTGGGGAAGACAGCTAAGCTGTAGATGTAGTTGGTGTGGCTGTAGTAGACCTGTACGCATTCGCCTGTCACCAGCCACCTTCTGATACTTGTGTCATTGCTACACGAGAAGAACTCAGTGTTGCTGATCACTGCCAGGCCTCTCACACAGTCCTCATGACCTATAATGGAAGGGAATATTTTTAACCATAACGTAACCCTAAAAAATATGCAGTTACCATTTTAAATTTTTACTTTGACAAAGTTATGGCGTTGTCCCATATCCTACAATACTGTTGGTTTATATTATTAACCACGTAATCAAAGACAGACAACCGGTCATGCTACTCATCAGCCAGTCTACTTTTTGTATACACACACAACCCCCCCCCCAAAAAAAAAAACATGTCCAATATACACCTGCATATCCTCACCTGTAAACGTCTTCTCACATCGTCCTGCTTTCCAAAGCTTTATGGTCTTATCTGCTGATCCCGACAGCATAAGGCCTTGTTCAGGTAAAATAGCCACTGCCCACACCGCTGCAGTGTGGCCCTGAAACAAAATTAACAAGCACAAAACATGTTCTGTCAATTTTTTCAAAAACAATGGAGACACTAATCACCATCCAAGCAAGCTGAAAAGTGTAGAGGACCACATACCTGCAAGGTCATCATGCACTTCTCATTGAGCCAGACTTTGGCTGTAGTGTCCCAGGAACCACTCAAAAGTGTCCCAAACTTCCCAGACGACAGAGTGCAAACTGTGGAGGTTTAAAGTTAGAAAGCCAGAAACCAGAAACACTGTGACGAGTAACACAGCAACCAGTTAATCCTCACTACTACAAAAATCTAAACAGCGAGGACAGCACAACTCACCTGTATTTTTGTGACCCTTGAGAGTGAAGAGGGGCTGCGGTCGGTCCAGTGAGAAAACACAAATATTATTATCGTTCCCGCCTGTAGCAACAAGTCCCCGAGGGTATGTTTCACTGGGTGCGATGATGCATACACAGGATACAAAATTTGAGTGTCCAGACATAGAGTGCATCTCTGTGAAGCCTTTGTCTGAGCTGTCAGAGGGAGAACAGGACGAAAGTTAACAATTATTACTGAGGGAAGAAGTTAGGTCCCTTTGGCTCTTATCTGTAAGAAGGATAGGCAAATTAACTGACAAAAATAAACACTCCGAATCTGTTTCACTTTCGTGTTTCGTAAAAGAACAGTTGCAGCTGAATGAATGACAAAGCTAATTTGAGCAAACGTTAGCACTGTGCTTTTTGGCTAACTTAGCTACTACCCATTTTTATACATATGAAATCAGAAATGGTAAAATATTCAGTAAGGCGTGATTTGGCTTGACACTTTTCTTGTCCGGACAAGTCAATCTCTTTGCGCAGAGTGACTTGTACCCTGAAATTAATCGTAGCCAGGCAGCAGTTTCTGAGCAGCAAGCTAGCGCTAGCTACCTTGAGTTTGGTACCCAGACTCTTCCGGTCCGGTCTCTGGACACAGACACGAACGCTCCCTCTGGAAAAACAGTAGCGGCGAGTCCCCTGACGTCCATCTCGTGGCCCGGGATTGAACACCTGAGTTTGTACGAATTGAATGATGCCATTTTTGCTCCAACAGCACAATGAAACTACTGTGGCACTGTTAAGCTATGCGGCGTCGCTGTCAACAAACACCAGCCGCTATTGCTAGCGGAAGTTGAATTACGTCATTATTAGGAGTGACGCACCTTTCAAACTAATGTTTAATTATTTGTGTTGAATATTAATTGTCTTACGTTTATAACATTAACATTAGAGTAGTGTTTTTCCAACTGTATTTTAGGTTTGTATCTTCGAATATATTTTATCAAAATGTATTGACCACAGTTGACCAGAGGGCGGCAGCAGAGCGAGGCCGCCACCATCCTGCTACATCAGCAATATCAAGCTGCCGACTACGCGGGCCGAGCAGGAAACTAGGAATGTTGACGTAAAAATAACAGCTCAAACGTAAAAAGTGCCACTGTTTAAAAAAAAAAATCATATTCGCGTTATCTATCGCGTCAAACGAGAGTTTAATGCTAATACCAAGCTTTTATGTAGACTTAGAACAGCTTAATAAACACGTAAGTCTCGCTAGCAAATGACTTGTGATTTTCTTTAATCAAATCATTGCTTTAATGAGTAATTTAACATTTTTGGTATCTTGGTTTGTTTTTAGTTTTCCATTATTTCACTTTATATAATATGAATTAGAATAACTTTATTAACAATTTCAATGCTTCCCAGAACAAAAATGCAAATAATGCTTGTTCCGGTTTTATTTTTTTAGATTGGAAATGTGACCGGAAATGTGATTTTTTTTTCATTGCAGGTAGCAAAACAGGTCCCACAGAGGCGATGAGGAAGTAGTCTCACTGATTCGTTCGCTGACAAAAAAGTAAGTGTCTTTTCATTTTAGCTCACGAGATGTATATTTGACAATAAACGCGTTGGTTCATTTCTACGCGACTGAAGTAAAGAGCAGCGTTGGCCCGTAGATGTTAGCTAACACAGTCAGGGTTTTAGAGCCCAGCCCATCACGATTGTGAGTGTTGTCAGCAGTATGAATGATGGAGCAGGCGAGGCTTTACAAATAACGAGGCTCTGGTATTGGTTACGTGGTTATGAGGGCTGTTCGTACTGTGTTCTAGCAGTGTTACTGTACTAGATAATGCTGATAATAAGATTCAGTGTAAGGTTTGGGGGGTAGATTGCTCAGGCTATCAAGTGCCTGGTTGATAAGCATCTGCTTTGTATTACACAGAGGTTAGGCCTTTGTTTAAGACACATTCCACGACCATTTCCACACAGTATCTGATATGTCCTTGTACGTACACATCTTATAAAGGTATCCTTAATCCTTCTGTAGTTAAGTTATAGATCTATTATAATGTGCAGGGCAAAATGCAGGTCTCACTGGTGGGTATTTTGCCTGAAACACATCATTTCAAGTATCTGCAAACTAAAGAACTGCAAAACATGTTTGTCAGTGTCTTAGGTTTTTGTGTGTCTTCGCGTTTGGTACACTGTAGGTTTCCCAGAATTCCCAGCGGCCATGAAGCTTCGATTGCACTTTGTGGTGGACCCTATGGGCTGGCTGTGCATCAGTGTGGTATTTGGGATCTGGCTCTACAACACCTTTTTTGTTCCCAAACTGGTTCTGTTTCCACACTACAATGAGGGACACATTCCTTGGGCCATTGTTGTTTGTGAGTTTCCTTACCTTTTGTGTTGACACGTGAAAAACTGAAAATGAGGTTTTTGGAAATTGGAAATGTATGTGCCCGATCACACCTCATCAGTGGAATTAAAACACACTGTATTTCTTTAGGTTACTACATAGCATCAGGACTCTGCCTAGCAGCACTGTTCAGAGCTTCCACGGCAGATCCAGGCCGTCTTCCTGTGGACCCACACATACCTCATGCTGGTAAATGCTTTTCTCACTGCTTACCGCTTGTTTGTATATGTCCAGTTTGTCTGTTACTCCGGTACCGACTAGCAGTATCAACTCTCTTCGGATCGGTGATTGTTACATAGTGTTTGTTGTCTTTGTGTTTCAGAGAGAGAGCACTGGGAGTTGTGCAATAAGTGCAACTTAATGAGACCTAAAAGGTCGCACCACTGCAGTCGCTGTGGCCACTGTGTGCGCAGGATGGACCACCACTGTCCCTGGTAATCATACACGAACACCTACCCTCGTGCTCCCATCCATTCTTGTTTATTCAGTTACTGAGATTTGAAAGCTTATTTAATGACTGAACATATCATAGCATGCCATGTGTGTCCACTGCTGTGATAAAGAAATATGTGATCACTTGCTAAATGCACTTTATTTCCTTTGCAGGATTAATAACTGTGTGGGAGAGGACAACCACTGGCTCTTCCTGCAGCTGTGTTTCTATGCTCAGGTCCTCAGCTTATTCACACTGGTGCTGGACTTCTGTCAGTACTATTACTTCCAGCCCCTGACAGGACTAGACCAGGTAGGTCCATGGGATTGTTTTTAAAAGTTGGCCTCTACTCATTTCCAGCTTCATAATTTTATTCTCTGCTGAGTAACTTTAAACATATCCTTATTTACCTTTTACCGGGCCTCAGTGAAGCCTCTCAGTTCATCCACAGTTTGAATAAAGACTTTTCTTATGATTGGCTGCCCCATCATATCCAGCATGTGGGTGGGGCTGCTCCATTCACAGCCATAGCTGTGCACCTGAGATGACCATATTAGGGATATCTGCCCACACCTACATCACAGAGAGCCAAGAGTATAAAACATGACTTTTCTTCTACAGCGATTGATGTTCATACTCTGACCTCATTACTTGAAACTTTGGCCATGTTTATTATGAGATTCAGCTACACTAATGGAAAACTATAAACGTTTATATTTGACAGTGGGAAAATCAGCAAGTGGAGCTTTAAGATGATAAGATAAGAGGTTTTCACAACAAAGGGCACTGTTCTCTTTCACTCAGGAAAAGTTCACTACACGTCACGAACTGGCTCTGCTGCGAATCTCTGCGCTAATGGGCGTGGTCATGTTTGGAGGCATGTCTTCTTTGTTTTACACACAGATGACTGGCATCCTCTCAGTGAGTACTGAGTAAAGACTTATTTTCTCGTTTCAGCTCTCAGCTCTCCACCCATTTCCTGCTGCCATCGTCTTGATGCGATTATGTCTTTAACTAATTAAATGCGGCTAATATTTCCAAGCTAAGTGTTGAATATCAGTTTGTAGGATCAGTAAATGCGTCATTCACAGCGTTATTCAGCTTATATGTCCTCTTGAAAGCAAGTTGAAGACAAAAAAGAAGAAAAATGATGTAGCAGCTTCAGACAAAACAACATGATATGGTGTACAGAAATAAAACGATCAATGCCAGTAATGCAGCGATCAATAGGAAAGAATCAGGGGAGAAAGTGTGCACATGAGTGCGTTCATATTACTATAAACCACAACAGCAACATGTTCATCTGCCATACCTCTGCTGACATGAATAAACATTTCATTTATTAAATAGTTTGGCAGGTCTGTGAAAAGATGTTATCTGAAATGTTTTAAAATGAGTCACTCATGTTGCATTTTTCTTGTCTTACAGGATATGACCACCATCGAGAAAATGGCTCACTTTTCAAATGAAACGTAAGTTCAGTTTCTTCTTATAGCAGGAATAGCTGCGTCAGAGGAATAGGCCGATCTTTTGGGAGATAAATCTATCGTATGTGTAGAGACTAGAGATGGCACGATACCACTTTTTTATGTCCGATACCGATATCATAAATTTGGATATCTGCCGATACCGTTATGAATCCGATATAGTGTTTTTTTTAATCAATAAAACTGTTTTTTTAATATATTGCTGCATTTTGTATAAGTTCATACTCAAGTTTAAATAAACAACAACACTAAAGCTATTCTGTTATAC